TAACTTTCTCTGCCAAAGTAATACAAATTACTTTAATAAAAACAACATAAATACCATTGAACAGTCGGTATTTAACGGAATCATTTAAGTATCTAAATCAGTGTGTGTATTTAATATGGTGTTGTGTTGACGAATAATGCATATTTTTATTTTTTGTTTAGTATTGGTAGCCTTTGTTATTTTAAGTATGCCAGATTTTTCGCTATTTAGTTATTTCTTTGCTTTATCACTAAAATATCAACGCGTATTATTGCGTTTTGACCAATAACTATTTTATAAATTATTTTTTTTCCAAATACGTATAACATTAAAAAATTAGGTCTGTAATTCACGCGTACTGACGGCTAGTAATGCACTAAATAGTAAAAAAAAAGAATGATTGTCTTTAAATATATAATGATACACTACTATTTCAACCACTATAAAGAAAAGCGTGGGTCTCTTCCTAAATAATACTAAAGTATCCAATAGGTAATAAAGTGACCCACGCTTTTCTTTAAACTTATTTAAATAGTAGTGTATGTTGATATTTGTTTTAAAAAAATAATTTATTTTCTACTTTTTAGTACATTATTGCATAAAAGCTTGTTATTAAAACGTTTCTTTTATAATTTTTTAAAATTATAAAACGCAACAACTACAGATCAACACATACAAGCATTAAACACACACAGTAGCAAGATTCTAAATATCTGCTCAAACCATACTTAAACCTGAAACTTAAATGAACACTAAAGATACAATTAGTCAGTACCAAAATTACTCTTACTACACTTTGAGAAACCTAAGTTTAATATTTGAACTAAACACAAAACAGAATAAATTTAATGAAATTTAATAGAATGTAATTTATAAATTATATATAACGTGATACATTTACTTATTAAAGCTGGGTGGACGTCAAACAGACTCGAAATCGTAATTCGAACTTGAGACTTTCGGATTAGAAGTCATACATTATATCCTACGACGCTTTCTTTATTTTTAAATTATCACAACAATTTTTTCTACATATTGTGATGGTAATATCTGTAAAATTAACAGACAGAGCTCGTAACTCAGGAGATGAGAGACATTCTTTCCAAAATTGACTTCAATACATCACACGAAAACGTATCTGGTATTGATAACAATATTTACCAGAAAAGCAGCAGTGATGAAAATTACGAGGATAATTCATCAAACTGGTAGTGTATTTACTGTTCTGGTTACTGTGGTTTGTTTTTATTAGGCATACTACAAACAAGATTTAAGTAAACTGATACGTTCTATATATCGAGATAAAATGAAATAGCTGTATTAGAAGTTGGCTCAAATTGAGTTGTATTACATGCTAAAAACAGTAAACTTATAAAAAGCCGAGAACTATTTTCAAAACGACAACGATTTAGGTAGGTCTACACGGTTCGAACATTGATTAACAATTGTCCATGTTCTTGTTAAAGGTATCCTTCGGATGATTCGGACACAGAGAACGATGTGTACAATTTGGTAATCCTTTTATATACAAATGGCTTTTTATTTCAATATATAAATGTATACCTATATTTATAGACATGAATATCTTTGTTAGAAATAAAGTTTTGATGATCAAGATTTGTATACCCTCTAAAATTGAAAATGGTATAATTTGTATTTAGTTTGTTTTTGGTTGTTTATTATTTATACAAAAGGTTGGTAGATTTATGCTTATTGCCAATGCATTTCTGGGGTTGCTATGTTACCTGGAAAAATGTTATTTTCTCTTCATTGCCGGTTAAAGGAAGAGCTCGCAAAGATTGCTTATCAGTCAAATTTCTCACACAATGTGGATAGGTACTTTTTGGAGTTCAACAAATTAAACAAGTTAGTTCAGTTAGCTAAGTAGAGATTAACATTATTATAACCAAACTCTACCTCTAGTTAATTTTGTGTTAATATTATTTAAATATATTGTATCCATATACAAGTTTATGTATATTTAGCGCATATATAGGTATATATATATATATATATATATATATATATATATATATATATATATATATATATATATATATATATATATACATATATATATACATATATACATATATATACATATATATATATACATATATACATACATACATATATATATATATATATATATATATATATATATATATATATATATATATATATATATATATATATATATATATATATATGTATACAATTAATTATGCAAATTAGCTACATATCGACTACATACTACCTTTGTTCATACACAATTGTTGATTGATTGTCCTACAGATCGACTCGTGCTAAGCTCGGCCATCAGATTAGCTCGATGCTGATGCAGTGCTCGTTTGCCGGGAAAGTATGTCAAGGAAAGTAAGTTTTGTTATGGAATATTTCTACTTCTGGACACCACTTTAGTTACATATTATGCACACTGATCTCAACCAGTGTTTCTTCTAGACTTTTTTTCTCAGGGGTGCACTTGAATTTTTTTTGGGGGGGGGGGGGAGGGGGCGGACAATGTTAAAAGTATATATTTTGTATATAAATTCCATTTTGTTTGGGGGGGGGGGGGCTGGTAGACTTTCTACAAGGCAGGGGGGGGGGACTCCGCCCCTGAAGAGATGCCTGGAATAAACTCTGATTTATTTCAACACTGCTTTGTTGAAATCGAAGTGTTCTAATATAAAAATACTGGCAATGAGTAGATAAGTTCTAGTAATGTCCTCTACGTCTTTATAACACAATGACGAAATGATCTAGACAAAGCTTGTGAAGCATACAATTAATGTCATCTACGTCCACACTTTCTTACTTATCAAACATTGACATGCAAGCTCGATTGCAAAATGATAATATTTACACAGTTACCACAGAAGTATTTTTACATATATTCTTTTAAGTATTTAATAACGAAAATGTCTTTACACAAGATCATGATTCTAGCTAAGAAAAGAACATTCATTTAGATAGTTACATCATGAGAAAAAAATCAACTTATGCTTTGTTTGCAATGCGGATTGTGTCTGCAGAGATTTTAAACGATCCTACTCGGCAAAATACGGGAACTGCTACACACTACAGAAGAAAAAGTTTTACAGCAACAGAAAAGGACCGGACGGGGGTAAATGCTTTGATCTTGTCTAAAAACCTTTGCCTTTACCGTTAATGGATATTGTGTGGTTTATTACGATGTTTTCCCTAATGATGTAAACGGTGTGCATCTATATTGAAGTAATCTACTTACACATCATCGCTTTGTCTAGGTCTGGAGCTAGTTTTATTTCTGGAGACGGAGGAATATCTACCAGGTATCACCAGTGGTGAGGGTGCCCAGCTGGTGATACACGAGCAGGGGACAGTCCCTTTCCCTGACGAAGAAGGGATTGCTATAGCATCAGGGGCTCAAACCATGATAGGAATAAAACAGGTTTTCACGTTATATAGACTCTAAATTTTAGAGTTACCTAATAACTAATAACTATTTTAGAAGACATATTTAAAACTTAAAATATTTAGATTTCATCAAACTATCTAAAAATTAATAGTCATTTATCCTCTTAAAACGTATAAGGATCGCTCTTATAATAATACCTACCATAAAATGTTACATATTTTGACGATTCAATTTACAATAGTTCTAACATAGTATTCATTAACAAAATATTATATATATATATATATATATATATATATATATATATATATATATATATATATATATATATATATATATATATATAAACAGTGCTATACAATCAGTAACATAATGTAACAACTATCAAGCACAAGTTTTGTAAATAACTCAAAACGTGCACGAATTAAAGAAAAAATAATTTTAAAATTTACTCGAGTTTTTATGCTTAGCTGATGTCTAATGGACAATGGCTTTTTTTCTTTTTTTTACTATGTAAAAATCCTTAATTAATATATATATATATATATATATATATATATATATATATATATATATATATATATATATATATAATCAAATATTAATAGATTAACTAGAAATTTCTATATAGATAAATAGCTAATAACATTTTCGTATTTACAAGTTATCTATTGAGCGTCTTGATTGGCCCTACGGCAATTGCAATCAGGACACTGAGTTTAAGAAGAAATACGGGGTCAAATTTAAAAGAAATGTAAGTCAGACATATTATAGATATAAACGTCAAATAAATAGTAAGTAACATTTTGTTTTTATTTTGTTTTACATTTTGTACAAGCTTTTCAGCTTAGTTTTGCATTCGACAGTAAAAATCTGTATCATCTTAAAATTACACAACATTATATGTGTACAATTTTAGCCACTTATATTTGTTTTTAAAGTAATAATATGCACTCTGCTTGTCAGTAATGAATTGTCGATATTTTAATCTTGATATATTTGAATTTAACAAATGTTCCTTTTATTTTATTAGGTGAAAAATCAATCTCGTGTATTAAAATAGTATGATAAAATGTTTAACCTTTTAAAAGTTAACTAATACCGTATATACCATTTTGGATTATGAGAAAATTTACTGCATGTTTAACCTGTTGTCTAAAAATAGACCCACCTTTTGCTTCCCAGCTGTGCCAGAAGATCTGTCAAGAAAACAAGGTCAGGGCCACGTGTAACTGTTACGACATGAGTAACCTGGAGGTGAATGACATCATAAAGATTCCAGACAGACTCACCCCCTGTACACAGGAATCAGGTAGGGTCAAGATTGATGTGCTGAGATAGTCCTATCGACATCTACCAACGGTCTCCATTTGACTGCATTATCAGGGTTACTTGTTCCTTAAATAAACATATGCTATAAAAAGAAAAACAATCGAGAAAATAAGATTTGCGAACTGAGAAATTCGGAGCGTTGATTCCCTTAGTATATTTTTATTAAAATAAAGACAACACAGTCATGACATTGTTAATTTCTACAATTGTTTACAAAGCTATGTTATAGAATAATGAAACATTCGTTGGCTATTAATAGTCACTGTAATATTATTTAAAATTCACATCACCACATACCGTTTTTCCTTATCGGAAATTAAAAGTATTTAGTCGTATTCTTTTTTTTTTCTTGATACGCTATTGTATTATATTTGTATTGATGTGTAGCCTATACACGATTTGTTATTGCACTACCGGGCCGGTTTGTGGCTGACCTAGCTTAATAATTGTATTTCTTAAACAAGTTCATCCTACTAACGCACTGTTTCTAATTCTCAGAGCTGCAATGTGTTACAGAACTTCAGTCAAATATTTCTAACGATCAATCAACATGTGATTGTTCAAGTCCTTGTAGGTAAGATTTTATAATATTGTTTATTTCACATATACGACTTTTCTTTTATATCTGCTAAAACTATTTTTTATGTATTTGATTATAGTGTCCATTCCATTGAATAAATACGAACTTTTTGGTGCTTTTCTATTTAAGTGAAAGAGAATATGTGACAAGTGTTTCCTCCAGGTTTTGGCCGAACCTAGATACAGCAGTGAGTTACAAATAGAAAAAATGTAGTGTTCTTATTTACAGTGTTTTTTACAAACTATTTTCTCGAGGGTGGGAGGGGGGTATTTCAAAATTTCGGGAAGGGGGACACTGGTACAGGTATATATTGTCCATATAAATTATATTTTGTTCAGGAGGAGGGGGGGGGGCATAGACGAGCTGATAGAAACAAAACGTATGTAGCAATTGGGTATAGTGTGGTTAAACGTTTGTTTAAAAAAAACTTAATATTATTTACTATATTTTACACGTCAAAAATATTGTCAATTTTCAGTTGTAACTTTATTAGATGTATTTTAAAAATATCTCTAGGAATTTTTGCTTGAGAAAATATATAAAACTAGACGCTATGAGGCTTGTGCTGATATGACAGATGTATATCAGTAAGTAAGATGCATGTAAATATTTATATTTGAGAATATTGTTCCCACCTCGGGGGGTCGGCGTGGTCGAGTCGGTAAAGCTAAACCGAAAAGCCTCGAGTTCGAACCCTCGGGCAGATGAGGCTCGTTAGCTGGGGACAGCAACTCTTCTAGGAGGGACAACTCCAAAAATCAAAAAACTGCTGCCTTGTAGTTTGTTCTTGGTTGAACAAAGGCTATGGAAGCAAATCCAAAAAGAAAAGCAGGCTGAAATCGGAGTAAATGGCCTCAATGGCGCATAACCAGTTGACACGTAACCTTAATTGTGATGGAGGCGAAGTCGAGTCGGCAAAAGCTCATGGTTGATTAATTCGAAAAAGTCTCGAGTTCAACCCTCTGGCAGATAAGTCTCGATCCCTTCCAACACTAAAAATTAAGAACGAAGAAGAAGTTCCCACCTCTTAAATAAAACTATATAGCACAAAAATAAATACTAAACACCTTAGAATTTAACATTTATTATTCCATTTGTGTCGCTAAAATGTTTCAACATGACCGAAGCTTAATCTTTGTTAATCTATGACACTAAGAAATAAACTTAAATGTAAATATTTTGAAATGTTGTTAAACGAGCTGACCCGCACCATAAGCATACGCCGCTTTTAGTTGTTTTATTTTATAATTTTCAGTAAATTTATCATTTGATAATTCGACATTACTAAAGCTGCGACTGAAAATATTTTGCTTTAAAACCCTATCAGTAGCTCATGAAGGACGATTATCTTCACCCTTCCTTATTACTTCCACTTCGTTTCAAGTCGTTTATAAACTAAATTATCTGCTCCTAGTAGCATTCACTAATTCGAATAGGCTCTACGATTGTAAACATTTGGCGTGAACCACAGATCACCAGACTGGTGAGGGTGGAGGTGTAGCGATATGCCTAGAGAGCCAGGGCGGGGGCGGTTCGGCTTGCTTCCGTGATGTCTCGCATGGTCCATTTTGAAGAGAATTGTATAGGCGTATAAAGATAATGACAAGCCGATATTTCTTAATTTTAATCTGTTAAATATATTTGAGTTGGTCTTATTTCATTTGCATAAAATTAAATAAGGAAGTGGGTAATATATCTCTTGGACTATAACGTAGGCTAAATTAAATACATAAAATAAGAAATAAGAGTTGTTATATGAAAGAATAATTTGAAAAAAAATAACATAACTCCACAGATGGGACTTTCTGAAGCTCAACATTTACTTTGAAGATTTGAATTATGAGAAAATATCTGAACAACCTGACTACGAGGTATAGACTTAAAGTTTGTCTCGATACATCATATTAAAAAATATCTCAATTTATTTTTTCAATATGGGCGATGGGGTTATAAAAAAAAAAATACTTCTGTTTCTAATGTATTGTCATGTTAGCATTACTTAGAACAAATCGTGTTGCCACTTGTAAATATAAATGTAACTTAATGTTTCTAAATGTTCTCTAAAATCCAGATAATCCAGTTGTTTTCTGACGTGGGTGGTACCATTGGACTGTGGATAGGCTTGTCTCTACTGAGCCTGTTTGAGATCCTACATCTCATCGTTGATATTATAGCACTAGTGGCCACCCACATGTGGAGAAATACCTAGAGCACATTCACACCTTTAATGGCTTTCTATACCCTTCAAGTTTAACTTTGTTAACTACCTATACTTGTTTTATATTTATTTTATTACACGTAATTGTATATTTTTTAAAGTTGATTTCACAAATAAAATGACTTATCTATATGTATCTGGACAAACCTAGTTTTATCTTTTTAACATTGTATATCTCGTATAAAAAAACTCAGCAGATAAATAAAGCGTTTTATCCTTAGATGTAGTGAGAAATGGAGAAACGAAATAACGACTTAAGAAAGTAAAACACTGCAATAATGACGGCTCTCTGTACGAGGAAGTGTCATAATTTTTTTTCAATATTTTCATCTATTCAATATTTAAGGTCGCTGAGTTTAGGAGACTTCGTTTAATCTATTTAGTATGATTTCAGCTTGAGGATTTATCCCGTGTTTTGTAATCAGTCAAGTTCCAAGCAAAAATTCCTCTCTATTGATTTTATTTTATTTTTGAAATTTTTTTATGATATCACTAATGTCCTCACATACACATATAAACAATTGACAAATAATATACATATAATATTTTAAAAGTGAGTTCTAAACGTAATTGTCTTTGTATTTTAATATACAGTAATTGTGCCCCCAAATTTTAATTCTCACAAACATACACAGGTAAATGTAATATATACCAGAAAAGTGATATTAAAAATATAATGAAAAAATAATTGTATTAAACAGCAATCACAAAATATTTAGAATATATTAAAACATAAAAAGTAAAATCCAGTATAATGCAAAAAAAATAAATAAAAATTAAGCATACCAAGAAGCAAATGTATATAAGTTTGAAACTCCAGATGGTTAATTCTGCTATATTTAAGCCGGCTGCTAAATTCTCTAAGTCTTATTTAACGCTGCTTTTTTATAAGTGCCCTTACTAAATGTTAAAGCACACATTTTATTTAACATTATACGTGTATGTAATCGATTTATTTTCAAACAATTAAAGAAAAAATCAATGATTAAAAAAAACAACTAGTGTAACATAAATTATGCCATAATATTAAAGCCAAGAAGTTTTTAAAAATGTTACACGTCGAAAAAGAAAGCCAGACACACCAAACTGATGCAACGAAGTTTTCCTTTACACTCCACACATTTTTATTAAATCTTTAGTAAATCTTAAGTATATAAGACATTTAAAAATATTTGTTTCATTAAAAACTACCAAATTAATACTTAAACAAGTAGTACCAGCCTCCCTTTGCTCTCTACAGTCGGTAGAGTGACGCTATTCAAAAGCAGTGCCGTATGCTAACAAATGGAAGGACTAGCTTGAGTAAGGACCCGGGCTATCGTAGAATCTACCTGTAGTGTGGGTTCACCTGAAAGTTTAAGTGGCCATGACCTTCACTAGTGTGTATATTACGCAATACACGTAGCCATCTTCTATATGAAGGTGCTGTAAAATCTGTGTATATGTATTGAAAGAAAATCTTTGAAAGTCTACGTGATTTTTATTGCACTTTTTTGTATTAATTTAGTCAATAACACACGTAAGCACGTGATGTACTGAAGCTTTATAATATTGTTGATTTTAACTACATAATTTTTAATACATTTTGATCTGCACATTTCATACCCATGTATCGTTGATTACTTATGTTTGTATTTGTAAATGAGAAGTAACTGAGTAGTTTTCTAGTGGTTATCTACCTGTAAAGGTCTGGTTACAATTGCCACATAATTAGTAAATAATTAGTCGTTGTTAATTTACGTCCAGCATTAAAAAAAAAGTAGAAAAAAAATATCCATACCTTAAATAACCATAAAATTATTAAGGTAATTTTCCATGTGGGCTTTGTTTCTACAAGGTTTAAAACGTATTTTACGTTACCTTCTCGTATTTCTATCGACACCACCAGTAACAAATCTCCCTAAAAATCAGAACTCTCGCACAGTGCACTACTGTTGCATAACATCCTTTATTAAATCGTCTATATTGTTAGGGAGGACGTGGTCGAACGGTTCGACTTCTAACACAGAAGTCTCGAGTTTAGTTCACTGGCAAGAGTTTGAAGAACGGCCATGATGGGTACCTGACTCGCGTTAAGAAGCATGATGCTGGGTGTAGTGTTCACTACACTATTGCTGGGTGTAGTGTTCACTACACTATTGCTGGGTGTAGTGTTCACTACACTATTGCTGGGTGTAGTGTTCACTACACTATTGCTGGGTGTAGTGTTCACTACACTATTGCTGGGTGTAGTGTTCACTACACTATTGCTGGGTGTAGTGTTCACTACACTATTGCTGGGTGTAGTGTTCACTACACTATTGCTGGGTGTAGTGTTCACTACACTATTGCTGGGTGTAGTGTTCACTACACTATTGCTGGGTGTAGTGTTCACTACACTATTGCTGGGTGTAGTGTTCACTACACTATTGCTGGGTGTAGTGTTCACTACACTATTGCTGGGTGTAGTGTTCACTACACTATTGCTGGGTGTAGTGTTCACTACACTATTGCTGGGTGTAATGTTCACTACACTATTGCTGGGTGTAGTGTTCACTACACTATCACTTCATATGTCGCTAAAAAGGTGAACTCTACTTCATCTACCTAGGTTTCGTAAATGTACTTTACACTTACAAATGTATTCTTGGTGTTCAGTGAAGAAGTATTTGCATCCAAACATTCAAACTCTAAAAACGCTATTAAATGTTTTAATTTTCCCATTTACATAATAAATTATTGCAAAACAGACTTTAAATTTAAGTAAAACTGTACAATAAATTTGTAAAGAAAACACAACCACAAAAGCAACACAAACAAAACACAAACACAAATGTAAATACAAATAGAAACTCAAACGCAAACCAAAACGCGAACAATAACTCAAAATAATGCTAAAGTAAACGTGAACATAAACACAAACTTAAATACAAACACGAACGGAAAGTGCCCACAGTCTAGTACGGGGCACCATATCGCACATTTTAGGGGCACCGCAGGAACCGCCGGATTCAACTTAGTAAACGACTATAATTTCATAACTTATTTAAACACTTTTGCACTCACTTAAACAAACGTAGGCGCCATAGCGAACACGGAAAGGCCCGGGGCCCCAAATAACACTCTGTTGGGGCGCCAGAGGATGCTATCAATTCGATTTAGTAAATGACTTCAGTAACCCTTGTTATCCATAGTATATTCGTAGCCTATCGCACTGTATAAAACAAACGTATGCACCATAGCGCTCACGGAAAGGCCGTCAGCGCAATATAACCCGCCCGGATTCGATTTAGTTAAAAACTATAGTAACTACTCTTATCGATAGTCTATCGTACTGTTTAGAACAAACATATGCACCATAGCGCTCACATGATAGCCCAGGGTGCCAAATTAAACCCTGATGGAGCGCCGGCGGAAGTTCCTGATTCGATTTTGTGAGCGACTTTAATACCATCAGCTTGTCTGGAAACTGAAAGATCGAAGTAAACATAGAGGACATTTAGGAGCGGCTTCTAATCTTTTCTTGATTAAAAATAATAATAAATAAACCCGTCAAAAGAGCGCACGACAAAAGAGCGCCGACATAAGAGGGCAGACAAAAGAGCGCCGACATAAGAGCGCCGACATAAGAGCGCAGACAAAAGAGCGCCGACATAAGAGCGCAGCCAATTAAAAAAAACACATGTTGTACGCTAAACGAATATGACATGGTTAACACTTGTTTTAATTAAACAATCGGCGGTACGATAAAACAACATGTGTTTATTTATATATTATGTGGAATATGCTATGAATACAGTTTGAAAATATTTCTAACCCAAGTAACATGGAGAAGATCGAATCACAGAAAGGGAAGGTTATTATACTGGCCGAAGGCTACAGATGTGGAAAGGACAGAGCAAATGCTGATGGAAGTACGACATGCTGCAAGAACAATGGCTGCCAAGGGTGGATGAAAATGCTGAACGATGTTGTTCTGTCATCATCGGCAGGACACTACATAGGGAGGCGAAGGAGAAACCATCCTGTTGTTTATAAATTGATCAACAAGTTTTGTCTGGAACAAGATCACATCGAAATCGAACTGGAACGTCATCTAGCTGGAGATAATCAACCAGAAGCTTCAAAGAACAATTATGTTCAGCTGAACCGAAGATTGCAGGGGATTGCTTCAACCTATGCTAATTATTCAATACGAGGTATAGCTACAACTTAGCAATATAAATGCAACTATAAAGAAACGTTTTATTCATTTGAAATATATTTTCATTTTGTTACATTTCATTTCAGTTTTTATTCTAAATTTAGGCCTAACATTTAAAATCTGTGTATGTGTTATTAGATTGCGTTTTGAATAATTGGACTTCACGTTGATTTTATCAGTTTTTTAGTTAAAGAAACTGAACAATTAGTTTTTTAATGAAACAATAAAGAGTTAACATCAAACTATGCCTTCTGATCTGAGTTAATTTTTATTAACCATTAACTATGGTTTTCGATCTTTAGTTTGCGCTCTTATGTCGGCGCTCTTTTTTTGTTGGGAAATTAGTGCGCTCTTATGTCGGCGCTCTTATGTCGGCGCTCTTTTGTCTGCGCTCTTATGTCGGCGCTTTTTTGTCGTGCGCTCTTTTGACGGGGTGCCAAAAATATATAAAGGGCAGTATTTAATATATCCGTGTTTATTGACCTCATTTCACTGTATCAATCCAAGCTAATATTTTTTTTCCTAAACAAAATCAAACTAATAAAAAGTTTGGTCCCCCGATGTACCGTTTTTTTTAAATGGACGTAAAACACATTAAATAATTTCAAACAAATGTTGAATAATGAAGATGATCAAATGTAATACAACAAAAACCCACATGTCGAATTTTCCATTTGATTTAGCCTCACAACTTGTCGGAATTTTTAATTGACAAAATATTTTGTCCCATTAGTCAACTTGCATTTGCTAACGTCGACGTCACCCCCTCCCGTCCTCTCTACGCATCATCTCTCGTGCCGCATGATGT